GAGAGTGCAAGAGAAAGAAAGAGTATGTGTGTGTATGTGTATGTCAGTGTGTCTGTGTGTGCGTGTCAGGTGTATTTCACCAGTGTTGCTAGAATTAGATCATCAAGTAGCTTGCCCTTAGTGTCTAAGATGCAAAGCAGTCTAAAAGAAAAAAGTTCTATTGGCTTGTTACCCTTCCAGAGAAGAATGAGTTTTTGTGTCCTGAACTGCCAGGAGAATGTTCCATTCCTAGGCAGCAGTTAAACACAGATAACAAGCATTCAGAGTACCCTGTGTTAAAAAAAAATAGGGAAGAGAGTTAATAGGAAAGAGGTAGCTTATTACTAAGGAGCGGATTTTAATGAAATGTTATTTCATTTTGACTAATACGTCATTTTTTACCATTGTACATACCTTTTAATGCATTTTTTGCTGTTTTAATCAATTTAAATATAATTTTCATGGCACTTGCTTCAAACAACATTTACAAGGTGCAACAAATGTTACCACAGAATACCAGAGTAGCCTATTCTATTTCTATGTTCTTATATTGTAATGTCAGCTGTGGTGAGTACTACGTAATGTAAGGTTACTGTGATATTCATTGGCACCGTTATCAGTTCGGCTGATTTCACGATAAAGGCAGAGATTTTATTTTAAAGAACTGTCCAAACCCAAAGTTTGCAAGCTGAGTTCAGTTAAACAAAAAGGAACAAACCTCGATTATGGCAGTAACATATCCAACAGCTTGAGTTGTTCATCTCAAGTGGTTTTGATAAAAAAATTTTGGACATTTTTCTTTGTTTTTAGAGCGTTTTTAAAGCATTTTATTGATTATTTTTGGCAATGTTTTAGGTCATCAAAATTTGTCCCCTATTTATAACCCTCTTCAAAATTTTCCTGATATGTAATGATTATTCTATGAATTCCCTGACTTTTCCAGATTATTCCATGTTTTTCAGAAAGTGGCCACCCTGCCCAAATATTTACTTATCACAATTACCTAGAAAGCTCTCCTCCCATCCAGCCCATCACACCTGCTCCATGAAGGTTCAACACGTAACTATGGCAGCTAGTTGCATTGCAGATTGTATAAATGCTAGTAAAATTTAGTGGTGTAACCAAATTTGGGGTAATGTTTTAAGACCATGAATCTCTTTTATCCTACATTTATTTTCTATTCAGCTTACCTTGGAGCTAATGTATGTTAAATATGGAACTTCACTGCCAGTATTATATAGCCTCTGGACAAGCCCTATCAATTTCTGGACAGACATATTTAAAGGTAATTTCTTTTTATAGACCTTACCTTCCATTTTAGGACTAAATATTTCTACACCTGAAATCACAATTAAGGAAAAAACTTAAAATTTGATCATTAATATTAAATGCTAATGGTATGGTAAATCAGTTTATGAAGATAATATTCAATGACTTTAATGGCTTCAGTGATGCAACAGTTAAGGAAAAAACTCATTCACGCATCGGACTGTTACGCCAGAGTGCACAGATTCAAATCCGCTTGAAGCCCAGGCAAGACTTTTTTTTATATTAGAATGGATTTTCACATGAGATTTCAATTTTTCTGAAGTTTGTCCAAGATGCTCAGAAATTTTACTAATTTTGGGTATAATTAAAAACAAGGTCCAAGGGCAAATAAAAGCACTAAATATGATGCTTCAAGCTTTTTTTAACATCACATTGAAGAAATCAAAAAATATTTAGACCAATCAGAAAGGCTCATGCTATTTTCAGCCGATTTCAAATGGAATTTCCCTGTAAATTTAATCTTTCTGAATGCCCTAGCATCTACAATGGCTTACAACCCTACAAATATCCCTTAAATTATCATACATATCAGTATGCATAATCTACAACAATATTTGAAATGAAAAAAGCAATGGCAAAAAAACTCATTGACATACTATTCAAATGACATTTACAAACAAAAAGAATCTTAATTCATCCTCACATACAAATCATTCACAAGAACAAGGTAAACTTTAAAAATTAGTTACTAGTTAAGGATACTGATTAACTGGGACTTCAATAGAGATGAAAAACATTTCACTTCACCTTCTTCTGGTGCCCCGTACTCTGAAGAAAAAATACATACATTTCATAATTTTTTGGTCCATTATATTGAACAAATATCTAATATTGCTTCATTTTAAATACTAAGACAATAATATATTTTGAATGTTACAACATTAAATATTAAGAATTCAATTGTTTCAATGTTGTAGAATTATTTATAGTATTAAAAATGAATACAGGATTTATCTGTGTAACATTAAAAAATGTATATATAATTTAAAAAAAACAACTTTGGTTTTTAATGGTTTTTAAATTCTCATTTATCTTCAATGCTTCAATGTAGGTTTGTATTTTATAGTAGTTTGATGTCTAGCTTTCTGACTTCACAAGAGAAAAACTATGTACATCCTTACTTTGTATGAGTGCAGGATATCGTGGATGAGCTAAGACAAAATTTTCCATAAGGATTTTCACATTTTCTTTTTTATTCATATCAATCCACTCTTGACCATGTTTCTTTAAGTAATCATACTCAGCGCCTTTCCTTTCCTCTGGGGTAATAACGATGCCATTCAACTTCTAAAACATTTGAGATTTCAAGCAATAGAAAGAAAATACCCAAGAATCAATGTTAATACAGAGGAATCTTATCAGCAGGTTCTGTTAACATTTCCATACTTAGTACATCAATATTTTTAAATCTTGATTCCAATCGTCTTAAATTACTTGTTTTCACATTTAAAAATTCCATTGAGCACATTCAAGTTTATCATTAATGTTTTTTCAAAAGCTACCACTTTTCCAATGCAAGGGTGCCATATTCAATGTGTGTTGTGTCAAGAGTATTTTGGGAGTATTTGCAGGCACTTTATCTTATTTCAGAGCCAGGGAACTGAGTGTTACTGTGTCTCTTCATTTTTTCTATTGTGTAATTTTATCATGTGTGTTATTTTGAATTTGATAGACTCAGGATGCTAGTTTTTTTTCTTTCTCTTTTTTTCCTTTTCTTGTTCATGTGCATTGTTTTGGTTTTTGTGTCAAATTTAGTTATTATTCAGTATATTATTTGAAAGTAAATGACTTTATCCCGAATGTGTTTGTGTGTAATTAACAAATAAATTATTTCTCTTTCCTGTTATAGCTCTCTAAAAAAGGAAATGTAAAAAATGCAAATTAAATATTCTTAAATAACACATTCTCCTGCTTTTGACAGTTCTGGCCCCTTCAAAACATGCTAACGAGATTCCACTGTAGTTTCTTAGGAACCGAATTCACACCTGCAAACGGCCAATCCTTGCAATCACAAGCTGTCTAGAAGTTTCATGATTTTCTCGATACAGAACTGGATTCTCATGAAACCTTAATTCTTCTAATTGCTTCAGTTTGTCTAGTTCACTCACAGATTCCCACTGAACAAAAAAATAAATAATATAAGTCAACTTACATCAATCGTAAAAGTAAATTTGAAGTGAACTTAATAGTTACAGACCTTTTGAATCTTATTTGTTGTTAAATAAAGCTGCTTTAAAGAAGAAAATAGTTCAGTTTTGTTTCCTGATTCCTCAACAGGAAAATTAATCTCAATTAAACCAGTATTACAAACATTCAGTGATTCCAAACTGGAATTTTAATGAACATAGTTTATAAAAATCTTCAATAATTAAGGATAAAAAATTAATTCATTTTCAGTTCCTTATTACCTTGGCAGTTTACCAATTTTATTTATTTCTCCCCAGTCTTCAATGCAATTTCCCTCCAAATCAAGAACCTTTAAATTTTCTAACACATGTGGAGGAACACTAATTTGAGTGATATGATTGAATGGCACCTGAAATTAAAAACAACACATAGTTTGTTAAACATTCATCTTATCCTAGATGACTACAAGGTGTTGCCCAGATATTTATTTATCATGATTATTAAGAAGCCCTGTAGGCTCCACAACTACCCCTGCCTGCAAAATACATGCGTTTTGAGTTGAATTATTTCTTGTAAAACTTGGTACTGTAACCAAAGTTGGGGGCAACATTATAGAATCACACACCTTAATTTTTTAAATTTTCGAAGTGTTTGTGCACAATTTCAGAACAATCACTCCAGTAGCTTCCATGTTTTTTGTGAATGCCATTCCAAACTTTCACAGTTCATAGAATATATTTTAAATATTACAAATATAGATTCTTCTTAACATTGTTTGTAAGTAAATTTTACAAGTGAGCGAAGAATAAATGCTGCGTGCACCATCAAGAATTTATTAATTCACTTTATGTATTTGAATATAAGCACACTCAATAACAATTCCTGTAGTATCACCAGAATAATATAATAATATTGTAAAGTCACAGAAAATATGTTATTAATTTTAAGTGTCAACATCAAAGAAAGATAAACAAGCATTTGGATAAAAGTCACTGTCTACTAATCATTACTATAACTAAGAATACCTTCACCTCACCTTCACCTCTAAATTAATTTGAACAACTGAATTAGTTAGATAGAATAATGTAATTAAGAATCGTGTTACATAGCTCACTGACACTTACATTGTTAAGAACAAACATTATTAAACTGAATTCTTGCCTACTGGAATCATTTTATAAAATAAAATTAAAAAATTTAAAATTCACTTTCACTTTTTAACAATGTTCAAATATCAAAAGGGCAAAATTTCTATTAATAAAGTGATCCAAGAATTGAAGGTGGTAATTACTCTAACTACCTCACTTCATGAAGTCCTAACTGAAACTTGATGTCTTTGTTCATCTTAAAACCTTATTATTAATACAATATTTTTTACCATAGAGCATATTTTTTCTCACCTGGAGAGTCTGAATTCCTGGCCACATACTACAGCAGGATAAAATTTCTGACCACGTGTATTCCATTCTTCCAGCAACAATATGTTTAATTTTTGGGAATGAGTCTTTCAAATGAGCTGGTTTTTCTGGAATGGTAAGCCGATTCTCACTGTAAGGATTAAATATTTCATGAATGTTTGTTTCTTTTAAGAATACATAAATTTAAATTCAAAATTGAAACTCTTTACACAAATGAATGAAAGCTGAATTTGTTTCACAGTTAGTAATACTACAAAATAAACATTAATATTATTGGAAAAGCTATCAATTTGTTTTCTGCATTTTCAATGTTATAGCAAGCAATCAAACAATTTACTGCCATTTTTAAATATCTTATAAGCCTTAATGCACATAGATCAATCAAAAGATAAACATGGGAAAGGAAATTATTTAAGAATTGACTACACAGTCATCATGAAATCCAAATTACACTCAGGAAGAACGATTCAAGAATTGTAATAAACAAGCAGAGAAGTCGCACAGGCAGTTATAGATTTGCCTTAACTTATGTGAATATCTTTTCACCTTGTATTTAGCCACCACAAGTCCGTAAGTTGCTGAGCAATTTCAGCAACCACTTCCCAAGAATTCAACAAATTTCTCGATAAATCAAGTTCCGCTATTCGAGGACATAAATTTTTCAGTTCTCCTGGGGCTCCAGATCCATTGACCAGTTCTTCCTTCAGACACACTACAGTCAATTTATCAAACTGGCTAAGAACAGACATTTTATAAAATTAATTATGTTATATATTATTAATTATGTTATATACTCTTTCTCTGATTAGAAGTAAATCGTATTCTTATAACATCTCTCTTTATTGAATATTTTTAAAGGAAAAAATTCCAATTTACTTCATTTTTTCTGAAGTTGAACTAATTTTTATAATCTATTCAGAAAGGGCAATTAAAATGAACAATTTCTTGGAGATTCTAGTACGCTATTTTCTACTACTGATTAGATGTAACAAGTACACAGTTTTTAAGAAAGGAAATACAAAGTGTGTGGGTGTTTTTTATTTTTGTTTTTAAAGTAATATGTTGAGGAGGAACATAAAATTCCCATCCCTCCCTAGAATGGGTATAAAACAAGTAAATTAAATTTTATGGGTTGAATAGTATGCCAGTATAAAACTAAGAAATTCCATTACGTAAGAGTGCTTAGGTTCAACATTGACAATAAAACACATAACATAGTTGATACCCACACTATATGTTAAAAACTGCAAAACTATTCAAAAATTTACCTCTGTTTTCTATTAACTTTATCAAAACCAACAACTTCAAATAATGGTGCTTTCATATTCTTTTTCAAAATTTCTAAATTTGATTTATCAACTCCAGCAGTTTCCCCTTTCACTTCTCCATACCGATTATGAATAGCTGTGGCACAATCATGACCAAAATTCACTTTTCCAAAACGAACAAATGATCCTGAGGTCATATGCCTAAAACAGATTTTCAACATTATATCAACTTTCAAAACCATATTCTTTGGTTTCCTAAAATGTTAGATCTGGATAATTACCTGGTGTGAAAGTAAAATTTCCCTTCATGAGTTCCATTGTGTTTACCACGAGATGGATCATCCCAATCAATTCCTAACCAAGTTCCTTTAGTTGGAGGTACTTCTCCAACAAACATTAATGTGCCGAAGTAGCCCATGTACTCAACTCGCTGTCCGATCTTCAAACAGAATGGGTTTTCAGTAGGCATGGCTTTGCCGTTCAGACTTGATCCAACCATCATTTACCCTTACAAACTCACGTTCATATTTCACGAAAAAAACCTATAAACCCAAAAATCAAATGTCATTAAAAGAGCACTGTCATATGAACTTACATGTTTCATTGTCCTATTAATTTAATGCACAGAATTAAACCGTACATGAACAATAATTTGGAATCTTGAACACTGTGACAGCTTTTGAAGTGTGCAGACGAAGTAAGACGTTAATTCTTTGAGGTTAGGAAGGTAGCTTACTCAAATGATTCGCATTCGAGATTCAAATTTACAAGACCCCTAAAGATTACGGTATTGACAGAATTGAAATTGCAATATTTATATTTACAAGCCAATGATCTATTTAACATTCTATGACAACCCCGTTGTCAACAATCAATAGTTGACATCAGTTGACATGCTCTCACTCCATAACCACGAATTATAAGATCACCAAAGATCACATAGAGGTAGAGCTGAGTAACACATTGCAAACCATTGTTGACTTCAGTAAAAAAAGAGTGCTAGCTTCACAATAATTTATTTTCTGAATGTGATCTCGCACACACTTTCATTGGCAATACAAAACACATAGAGCAACGATCACCCAGAATCACAAGACTATGGCTATGACGTTTACGTGATGAAAGATGTCAGTCAGATCACATGTTAACTGATGTTAATGGCACAAGAAATTTGACAGATAAATAACAAGGATGTGAAATAGCGAGATATTCTGGTAAAAGCAGTATTCAGATAAATACCTATTATTATGTTTATTTTGACAATTTACCGCCTTCGCTTATCAGATATCTGATAACTGGAGCACGGTATTTTCTATTAAAAAATATGCGTTGAAATTTTGTATTTACATTATATCGGTAATTCAGCTTTTTTTAAAAAAAAAAAATATGTGATCGCGTTTAACAGCTTTCTTTACATTATTTTGCCTATTTATCAAAGGGACCATCAAGTTTGTGCCGCAAATTTGGAACATTTTGAATAAGTACCCCTTCTCTCCCCGTGTTAAGCACCAGTGACGCACCCCTTGAGCCGCCTTCGTTCTCACGAAGGCGCCGCTTGAACCCCCTAAATAATTACGCTTGCGGACCTACCTCCCTACGATTCACAAAAAGTAAAAATAAATTCTGTAACAATGAAAACAATGTGTTAATTTTATTGGGTTATACATTAAAATTAATTATAATTAATGTCAGAATTTATTGGCGATGCTGAGTGCACCCAACAATACGTTTGGGGGATTGGCGAGAAAATTTCAGACTACTGCACACGTCGTGGACGCCGCATGGGTGAGAATTGGCTGCGTCAATTAATTTTATTCTAGAATATACTGTTGGAATTCGAATATTTTCTTCATATCCTAACATTCAATCAATAGTATACCATTGATGAAAATACATTTTCAATTATTGTCAACATTATTATTTGATTATTATGTCGTCGATATTTATTTTGTATTATTTGTAATTTATTTATTCAAACTCCTGTTTGACACATCCTAAATTTCACAAGCATATGAGGATAAAGACCTTTATATATATTTGAAGATTGATATTGACACGTCGATATTGAATTTTGAGTTTTTATTAATTAATAGGTACATTTTTATTTATTTTTTGAAAGGTTTGTTAGCTGTAATTTTTATGTGATCTTTCCAGGTAAGCATTTTGTCAATATGTAGTCCTAATTTAATTTAATAATAATTTCCGAGGTACCGGAACGCCGTTCTGTCGCGCTCCGCCAGAAATGAAGCCCAGTTGCATCAAACCATCCTCTGTATTCTACTGAAGTGATAGGAATTGCATCAGGTCGCCGTTCTCGAGATATAAACACACAGATTCGCAGCGTTTGCAGCATTCCATCATTGATTCATTAACTGGAGATAAAGAACTGGAGTGAGTACAGTGGTCAAATTGAACGTTTGCAATCTCTAAAGAAGAGTGACATTGGTCTTTATACTGCCACTGGCGGATCCAGGAGGGGGGGGGGCATGGGGACCGCGCCCCCTCCCCAAAGACCTTTCTTTTACCTTCCTGAATTTGGCAAAATTTATTTCAATATTCTTGTATAGTATCATATATATATATATATATATATATATATATATATACACATATGTGTATTATTTAACAAAAATCTGCGATGGCCCCCTTTAAAATGATCGAGTGGATCTACCCGTGTATACTGCTATCATTGGCAAGTACCCATTGTCAGATTCCTTTTGTGGTTATAAACAATGGAAAAAAGAGACAAAGACTTAGTTCCTCGCAATGATACGGTTTTTTTTTCTTGTAGAGGGTCGTTCGACTCTTTGAACGTCCCTCTACAAGAAAAAAATGCCCGTATCATTGCTGGGAACGAAGTCTTTGTCTAGTTTTCCCATTGTTAATAATCACAAAAGGAATCTGGCAATGATAGCAGTGTACAGAACAGTGGTACTGGTACATTATTAGTTCCCGGTGAGCGACGCGCAATCCTTTATAACCCTCCGGGGGTCAAGCTTACTCGCGTCACAAGATATACACAAGTGTGTGTGCGTCGCTCACCATAAGTAAATGGAAGTGTTTAAAGGAAGAAATAACCATATACCAGTGGTCTGCAGCAACAAAAATGCTGCTGAACAAAATCGCAGAAAATATTATCTCGAAACGTATCGCGTGCATTGCTCAAGAACAACAAATAAAATACTCTCCCATAACACTAAATCAAATTGAATATTTTAACAAAATATTTTATGAAAATTGCAATAACATTGAATAGTATATACACAGTACGATAGTTCTTTACATTACTCCAAGAATATAAAAAGTCGCTGTTCCATAACGCAACAAGTTGCAAATATTTAACCTGGAAGGGGTCGCGTGGATTGCAGGATGCTTATGATTTTCAGTATCTTTTCACTAGACTTTTATCTGCAAAATTCATTTCTCGTCACATGATTGCAGACTGTCAATTCTCAGACATTATTATATCTCGCGGGTGTCTCTGGAGGCGCAATGCTCCCACGCGCCGTTCTTCTTTACAAACGCACGACAAGCAGAACCAACCGACGCATCGCCCGCGTAGACCTTGCAAGAACCAGAATTTTCATAATTCAAATAGGCTTTATCAACTTTTCGGAGGATAAGCTGTTATAGATACTTCCAGGTAGGACCGGATTTATGGTCTGCGTGGCCCCCAAGCAGATCACAAAGGAGGGGTCCCTCGCTAAAAAAAAAAAAGTTAGACGGGGAAAAGAAACCATCCTAAATGATTTGGGGTTTCGCACAAACAAATATTTTTTTTTCTTCCAATCTCTATGTACTTAAGAGTTGGTGATTTAAGTTATTTACAAATGGGCTCTGTGCTTCACAGGAAAAAAATGTCAGCCCCTAGCCCCAAGCACGTGCTTGTATGTAAATCCGGGCTTGCTTCCAGGAATTGACAGAAACAAGAATTACAAAGGAAAGTTTGTATCATATTCGCCCTTGGTTTTTACTGAGATAAGTAGGTACTAACAAAATTAGCACGAGAGAACAATTTTTTTTATAAAAAAGGCGTAAGTGTTTGAATTTTTTATAAAATTGTAATAATTATTTTTAATAAAGTACTCTATTACTGAAATTAAGGATTAAAAGACATTTAAATATCAAATTATTATTAATTCATTTCATGTTTTAGAAGACCTCTAAGCAACGAAAGTTACGCTGGGGTTCGTTTTCTCTCGCGAGACCCGTTCGTTTGCAACATGCGACCTCTCCTTACAGCCTTGCTGTCGCATGACTTCAGCTGCGTCGTAAGCAGTGATTTCGTAATTCAGTCAGTACGCTTATATTCAAAGAAAGGTGGAAATAACGCATTCAAACATTTCATTGTTTCTGGACTTCCAAGTTCCTGGGTATCCAACTAAACCATATGAAGGCTACTGATAGATTTCCTAGAATTTCTGTGTGAGTGGGAAAATAATAATGTCTATTTTTCATCTTTTTTATTTTACAATTTGTAAAGCACAATAATGTTATTTTATACTTTTTTATTTAAAGATATTTTCGTAAGAAACTTTTTAAAAGAAAAACTTGCAAGTAAACGAGAAAAGAACTTCACGTTCCAGTCAACCTTTCTTCATTATTCTGGAATTCTAGAAGAAACATGGTTTGGAAGTTTTTAAGGAACCTAAAGTGTGGAACAGCTGTCGGTTACTACATTTACTTTATGGCTCAACTTGAATCATTTGGCCATGATACATTATATTTATGATTGTTAAACCTACTATTAATACAAAGCATGAATTTAAAAAAAAGTAATAGTATTGATAGATTTTTACTTTCTCTTTGTTTCTGAGGATAGACAAGTCAGGCAACTTTATTGTTAAAAGAAATATTTTTAATGAAAACTTGCATTATACATTTTTTTAAAGAAGGATCTTGAAATAAGTTCATGTCCAATTTTTATTTTTTTCAGAACATACCCTCAAAAACGCTCCAAATTATTTCTTTAAAATTTCTTGGGCGCTAAAAAATATGGAGTTAGTCCCAATTGCAATATTTTTTGAAAATTGCAAAAAGTTAACATTTCAAATCTATGAAATTTAAGTTAGAGATTTTTGCTTTCAACAAAGAGTTTTTAAAAAAGATCATGTACAATTTTGTGGAGATGAGTAGTTTTCGCCTAATTTGTGCTTGAAATTACAATTTATAAAATAAATATTTTCTCCAAAGCCACTCTAAATTTACACCAATAATAGAAGAAGGGATGCTAAAAAGAATGATGCGGGTCTCTTATTTGTAGAAACTCAGAATTTTCGAAAATTGCAAATTTAGAAAAGCGAGAAAGTATTTGCTGCTGTAGCCCCACTACTTTGATGGATTGTTTTTACTAGACAGAAATGTCATTAAATGAAATGTAGATTAATGTATTGTACGTGACTTAAATGTACCTTACATTAAATTTACTGCTTATATTAAAAACAATGTAGATTTAATATAAAGGTTTTCCTGTTTCCCCATCTCTCATCATTCACATCATATATTCATAACCATCAGTCCATCAAGTTCATTCACTCATTCTTTCCAGGTATAACTATAAAGCTTTGACTATTGCATTCTAATGTACATGTACATTTAATTTACTATGCGTTCATGATAATTACTTTAACGAACATTTCATTAAAGTAATGCAGAAACTGTGTACACAATAGCACCGTTTCTCAAACCATGATTTTTGAGATTCATAAAATCACTGTCGCATTGCACCTCTGAGAAGGCCTCAAGTCTGTTTCAATTTAGCCAAGAGTGTAATGCATAGAGTATCTCTGCGTCGGTGGCCAAGTTACGACTTCTTTCCTCTACAACACAATAAGATGCGCAAGTAGTAAGATTGCAGAGATATAAGCAAACACAGTAGTATATCAATATAAGTAAGGTTTTCTTTATATGCTGCTTTGTCCTCTACAAACCAATTTGAAAATCGAGGGGATCAGTCAGTAACATTCACCAGCCTTTAATGACTTTTTTGGTAAGAGACACAGAAATATTTTCAACAATAACTGGTGTCATCTGAAAGCTAGTAGAACCAGGGATAGCACTAGATGACTGGAAAACAGCAGGGGTGACACCCTCATCTAACAGAAAGTACTTCCTGTGTCTCTCTTTAGAGATATTTCTATGAAGGGAAAAAGTTGCCTCTTTTGACTTCCAGCGAATATTTCTGATGGTCTAATTCTAAAGGGCATTGTCAGGATTTTGTTTTCCCCCTCACTCATTAGCTTTGAGGATGTACAAGTGAAGAACAAGTGATACATAAAACACTGTATAGA